AAAAAAAAAGAAAAGAAAAGAAAAGAAAAAGGCTCCTTCTGTGACTCGATCGGCGCACCTCTCTCTCTCCTCTGTCGCGGTGTCGCCTGTTGCCTTTCCGTTCCTTCCCCAGAAACTTTGGGTTCTCTCTGTATTCTTCTATTTAAAAAAAAAAATATAAGCCTACAATTCCATTTTCCCATTTTGACCTTCAACAACTTCACCTTTTCCACTAATAAGGATTGCGTCGTATTAATTTTTTTCCATAATCCAATTCCGCTTCATTTTTAATGAACGTAGCTTCCTGATATTTACCAACAAAGATGAGGGCTGCCCGATCCCTTCGTTCCCTCCGATCAGCTCTTCACAACCCAGTACATAATTATTCCACTAGTTTCGTGAAATGCCGGAGTACTCCTGCTCCAGCTTCCGCTTACAATGCCCAGCTCAGTACAATTCTTTGCCCTGTATTCATGGCATTCAGAGCTTTGTCAACGGATTCGGGTAAAGTTGTCGGTGGAGGTTTCTGTGTTTTTTCTTCTGAATTATTAAGTACTAAATTGGTATTAGATTATAGAAAACTGAAAATTAAATGGTCAATTTTTGTGGTTCAATTCTATTGCAGATGTGAACAAAGCAGGGCCACTTGTGGAGTATGAAAGAAGGATTGCTGCGGGTGATCTTGTTGATGGTGATGCCTGCCAGGTATGAAATAGTCCAAATTTTTTTTGTTTCAGAAGAATAATAACTGAAAAATGTCTAGTGATGAATTTGTTTCTTCATTGAGCTGTCGCTTCACAATTCCGGAACCTCCTAGATTCTTCCATAAAAATTTGTCCTTGATTAGAGGTTTATGAGTGCATTAAATTGTTAGTCTTACTGTTATAGAGATACGAGTTAAATGTTGTTTTGAATGAATTATGTCAGGCAATTTTGAGGCTTTTCCTTGTGAAGGTGATTCTGATTGGTAAGTTTGCAGGTAGGTACTTTGGGGAAACTGCAGAGACTTTATGATGAGCTTGTTGTGTCAGCTGATGACTGCCAGTTGGATCGCTATGCAACTCCTGAGAAAACAGTGAGGTAAAGTATCTTTCTTTTCCTTCCAATCCTATTATGCTCAAATCTTTGTTTTCCATTTCTTTCATTGGGCTTGGATCTGATTACAAACCGATCTTGTTGTTAAAGCTTATCTGATGTGACATTAAGATTTTATTTTTGAATTTTTTTGTTGGTTTATTTCACAAGACAATTTGCAAGTCAGGCACTGCTTTTTAATTGTTTTCAGGAGTGGTTGGTTTTGGTATCGTCTGATGCCACAATCCTCATACTCTCCTGTCAAAGGACTTTATCTTTATGGAGGAGTAGGCACTGGGAAAACCATGTTGATGGATCTGTTCTTTGATCAGTTGTAAGTTTCATTAGCATGGTCCTATTTGGCATCTTTATAAAATTTTCAACAATTTTATTCTTTTCATTGCCAACTTCAGCTATCTGGTATTTGCTATTGGTTTTATCTCCTAATTCTCAATTTCCTCTTTTCAGACCCAGCAATTGGAGGAAAAAGAGGATTCATTTTCATGACTTCATGTTGAATGTCCACAGCCGCTTGCAAGTGAGAATCCCTAATTATTTATTTCTCCAAATTAAGGGAGTTCACTAATAAGAAAGAACCTTGATTTGGGGTCAAGGTCAGGGGTTGAAGCCTCTGCAATTGCTAAAGTTGCAAACTTACTAAGCTCCAAAAAAACTAATAAGGAAAAGAAAATCCTTTCTCTTATTTAAAGCTTTATATTTGCAAAAGTGACAATGTTTTTAATTTTTATGGAACCAATTCATTTCTTGAGGTGGAAAAAGTAGTTCATATCTGGTAGTATTCTTATCTTCATGTTATGAATGTATTGAGTTAGGGTAGAATTGGACTAAAAGTCAGCAGGGAGTTTTTGCAGGCTTGCATCCTAGGTCTAGCCCCTCCATGCTTAATTACTTAACTTTATCTTGCATACTCTCTGTTTCTTTGTCCATCAATGCATGTACTTATGTCTGCCTGCATTTACATGTATGGATTTATGTATGTATTTTGATTCTTTTTTTTTTTTTCTTGTTGTCAAGAAGCCAACTCTTTTAGTTGGGACAAGCTGACAGTCTCTTTACACTGTTTAATGAGTTGAATGGCACTCAGTGATACACTAACCCTGAATTGAGTCTATTACAACAACAAATTCTTGCAGAAACACAAGGGTGTATCGGACCCACTTGAAGTTGTTGCAGGCGAGATATCTGATGAGGCAATTTTGCTATGTCTAGATGAGTTCATGGTAAAGCATCTTGTAGCAACATAATTAACAAAAAATAGAAAAAAAAGAAAAAAGAAAAAAGAAAAAGAAGGTGATCCCAGCATTATTTTTATGCTCTTGTTTCTGCTGCCAAAGGTTGATTCCCCCATTAATCTGGTCTTTTGTAGGTGACTGATGTTGCCGACGCATTGATATTAAATCGCCTATTTAGACATCTATTCAGCAATGGAGTTGTAAGTAATATAATCATTGTGTTGTATTTAGTTTCTTTTGTCACTCAGTACAATAGAATTCCATAATTTCAGCCAGAAATTAACATGAAAGTCATTGGCATGGGCTCTGGTTGGAGGCGAGTGTAGATTCTTGTTGCAACTTCAAATCGTGCTCCAGACAATCTCTATGAGGGTGGACTACAGAGGGATCTTTTTCTACCCTTCATTTCTACTTTGAAGGTATGAATGTAATTATGTAATAAGATAAGGTATATCTTAATGTACTTTTATGATTGGATTATATTATAAGTTTAACAAACTTGACTACCACATGTTCCTATAGGAAAGATGTGTTGTTCACGAAATTGGTTCATCTACTGATTATCGAAAGCTGACTTCGGTATGATATCATCCTTTTGGTAGATTTGTTCAACCTTTAATTTCTGTAATTTTATCTTGTAATTATGATATTTTAATTTCTCATATGCAGGCTGAGCAAGGGTTCTACCTTATTGGCAAAGATTTGTCAAGTCTTCTTCAGGAGAAATTTAAGCAATTGATAGGTGAACAAGATATTGCACAACAAGAGGTGGAAGTAGTTATGGGAAGGACATTGAAGGTGAGCGCCAGATTGCAACTATATTGAAGAAAATGAAGTATGCAGAATACTTGATTAGTTCTTATGCTTTTCTCACAATTCTTTTTTCTAGGTTCCAATGGGTGCTAATGGATGCGCTTATTTTCCATTTGATGAACTTTGTGATAAACCACTTGGAGCTGCAGACTATTTTGGATTGTTTAGTAAGTCGTGTTTAATTTAAGTAAATAGAATTTTCCTTTTGCTGATACAATAAATGTTTAATTTAGGTGATGTACCTATCTGTAAAGGGACTCTTGTAGTGAAGCTCAGTTAATTTGGACAAGGCTGTCTTTATTTGTTAGGGTTCAGCCACTACAGATTAGGAAAGCAATGTTGATATTTCAAGTCCCTTCAGAATAGACTATTTACCACAAGCTATGGGACTCAGAGCAACTGAGCATGGCAGCACTTGTGACTGGACAAATATGTTGTTACCTTAAAACTGCTTTTTTCCTAAACAAACACACAGATTAGGCATCTTTTACCTTTAAAGTTGGTGCCCTATGTGATTTTGATATACCTTTTGATTTGGTGTAGTGCCACCATTTTATGCTTCTGAACAGCCAAATATTTAATTTTCCTACATTCTGTGCAGTCATGTCTTAGGTCCCATTTTAGAGATCTTAAATCATGTTTGATTTATTATATATTTTATATTATTTTCTTTTGCAGAGAGCTTTCATACGCTTGCATTGGAAGGCATCCCAAAATTTGGGCTACATAATAGGACAGCAGCATATCGTTTTGTTACTTTAGTTGATGTATGCCCCATTTCTTTCTGTAGGTTAGACTGTTTTTGGATTTCTTAGTTTAATTTCTGTAATTAAGCAAATGTTTGTTCCATTTGTTGGTTGTGATCCTGGTATATGGTCTAAATGGAAGACTCCTGGCTTCTTTATTGTTCAGAGAAAATTTACTTCTTGTTACATTTCTGCTTTGGTGGTTGCAGGTTATGTATGAGAATAGGGCGAGATTGTTATGCACGGCTGAGGGTAGTCCTCAAGAACTTTTCAAGAATATTGTGACAATCTCAGATGCCCAGCATACAGCACCTAGAACCTCTTCACGATCAAGGAGAAGTGATGATTCAGATCTTTGTGTGGACAATGAATTGGGATTTGCAAAAGATCGCACCATTAGTAGGTATACTGCTATTTTTGATATTCTATGGATAATACCTTTGCATTTGCTACTGAACTCAGTTTTCATCATACCAACCCTCCTACTGATTTAGTGCTCAAGGGCATGGAATGAGACCCCTTTTGTTACTAGGAGGAGGATTTGACCAACAATAAAAATTTTAGGTCTGGAGTAAGTGATGGAAAATAGCAGCCTATGAAGGGAGCTTACGATTTTTGTTTCTCATATTTATCTTTGCCTGTGTTATTTTCCCTTTTCTTCTGCTTTGGATGTCGTTATTATTAAGACCATAAAATTTCTGACAATGAATGTAACTGAATAATGCACAGATTAACAGAGATGAACAGCAAAGAATACCTTGAGCAGCATGCAGAAGAAAGGCAGCTCTCGTAAGAAGATACAAATAGAGATGCAATACAAGTGTGATGCATAGGCTAACAAAAAGGCTTGTTAGTAAATTTACACAATCCTAATCCTAAATCACAAAGTCGAGCTTTTTCAATGATGGTTGCTGCCCCATTTTGAATCTAAATTTTTTGTTCAATAAGGAATCTGATATTTATTATGAATAAAAAGTAGTTAATTGATCATTTATAAGTTCAATTTGAAGGTTACTTGCTGTCTTTGGTTGTTCCATTCAGTTTAATAGTGGGAAAATGTATTGCCTAAACAATGTACGCGCAATGCAGTGCCACATTGATTGCTTCTATACCGTGCCAAAAAGGGAGATTTACTTTTGAATAGCATAAATAATGGTAATATTTGGCGAAAAGTATTTCTCAAATTGAGCAAATCTTCTTCATGGTGGAGTAGCTATCTGTGCTTGATCTAAATACAACCAACTCCCTGGAAATCCTTTTATCGAACGTGGTATAAACCCTGTTATCCACCTCGGAATTCGAACTAGATCTAGGAGACAGGAAAAATCATGTTAATTCCTATCCACAGCCATGTGGAGTTAGAGGCAGCAGGAAGTGAAGCAGACATGATTGAAGGTTCATGAAAGGTTTCATGATGGTGTTCTTCCCAAGTCGACTACAACAGATTACAGAAAACTAGTCATTCTTACTGGTCTGGCTAGCAAGCACATTTCTCACAAGACATAAATGCACTAAAGGAATGTTGCAATTTGATATGGCTGTAACAGCCTGGCATTCTTCCAGCAAGATGATAAAACTAGTCCCCATGTTGAAGAAGATGAAAGGAGATCACTGCAACAAATAATTAATATCAAAACAAAGAAACAGTTGAGACTGCCAATTTACAACTTCATACAAGCGCGGAAGAAATTTTGACCAATCACAATCACTCATGTGCTCCACATTTACTTGTAATCTATAATCCCATGGAGAAAACATATCCAGCTTGGCTTGTGGATCATTCCATATACTGTCTTCCATTTATTTACACCGAAATTTCCCCAAAAAATATATATATATATATTTTTTTTTCAGTGACCACCTCAGCGTTGGAATGATATAGAATAGGAGCCCGTGTTTGGATCTTTGACAGCTTTGAAGTTGTCCACACTCATCCCAAAACGGCCAAGAACAGAGTTGCCCAGATCTTTCAGCTTTCCTGCTCAGGTTGAACAGTTTCATATATAGTTAGTCAGACAGAGAAAAACCTGCTGAAAAACATGTTCCTACAAATAGAGTGTACAATTCTGCTTTATTGTCAAGTAAAAAGGATCCCGATCGCTGTCCTAACATGCATCATTGTGATAAATAATAAAATTAAACCAAATGTTCTCCTAATTCGATAGTATCAATATCTCAAGGCAGAATTCAGGACAGAAATGTCAAAAAGAAATTCTCCTTGTCAAGAATAAATGATTCTCAGAGAATATTAAGAACCGAAATCAAGTAGCACATAGCTGTATACAGGTTGCATAGGTTTCAAGGCCATTAATGAAACACCTTACACATTGGTTTGAATCACTGAACAACAATGCACAAGCTAACTCTCCTTGATTAGATGGAGAAAATGCTACTCCATAGAACTTAATTCTAGCACAAACTGTCTTTAGCATCTTGGGAATATAAAATCTTAATTTGCTGTGTTCATGAAAAGATATTTATTAACATTCCTGCCCATGCCCCTGTCCCCACCCCGGCCCCTTAGGAAAAAAATTCTTTTGTTGTACACAATGTAACACAGCAACAACTCAGTAACAGAAAGTTATGACAAATAGACAAAGTTAACAAAGAATGAGATCCACAAAGGCAAAAGGAAATTGTAAAAATGCAAATCGCCAGGAAACTCTTAATATGTTCTTTAACACAACTAGATTCACCATTGAGCCTAAAGCAAGAGTTCAATGCAAGGCAAATGAAATGTAAAGAAAAATTATTTAAGAGGCTTACCAATCATCTCCTCTTTCATCTTTTCCCGCTTTTCTTCTGCAAGTGGTTCTAAACGGCGAATTGCTTTCCTAGCCTGCTCATTGGAAGGGTCCAATTCCAATATTTTCTTCATATCTACAGGTTTAAAAGGATATGTATTACAACCAAATTAATGATTTTTAACCTGGAGATGTTACAGGAAGCATATAAATCCTCACAATGTTAAAACAATTAGCACAATAATAATCAAAATCTGACTCACCAGCAATAGCCTCTTCATAGTGTTCAAGCTTTTCGTGAGCTTCTCCTCTTCTTACAACAGCTTTTATGTATGAAGGGTTAAGTTCCAAAGCTTTTGTGCATTCCTTGATTGTCTCATCATACTTTCCCTGACATATGTTCGGGGCCCAATTGATATTGATAAATTATTAATGAATGAAATGACCTTTAGATGGTCTAGATTCAACAGAATGAACTCTCAATCGATCAAATTACAAAGAAAACTAACTCATTTTGTTCCCATGCAAGTGTGCTTGCAATGTCCAGCTAGAAATCATTCTTTAAAAGAATATTTAAAGTGCACCAGAGCAAACAAAATTTCAGTAATCTACTGCTGTGAATATCCATCACGGATGCATGTATACATCATTAAGCATGGCATACTAGTTTGAAGAGACATTGATAAGAAAATTAAAATAAATGTCACAGTTAAGAACAACTTACTAGCTTCAAAAAGCATATAGCACGGTTTGAGTGGCATATGGAACGGATCTCAACAGAATCAGGCATATCTGGTGCAACTTGTAGAGCAATCTCGTACTGCAACAATGCCTCCTCATACTGGCCATTCCCAAACAGTTTATTGCCTTCGAGTTTTGCATCGTTTGCTTGTGCCAAAGCTTTCTGCATAATTTAAACATGTAAGCATTAAAAGATATCACTCAACAAGCATCTTCTGAGATTTAATCATTTCAAGCAAATGGCATCCAAGCCTAGTCATCTAACTCAACAACTACCATAACACTCCTTCAACCATTGAAAAAGGCAAAACCCATAAGGCATCAGACATTGATAAAACTAAAACCCCATCAATTTCCTTAGACACCAAACACACATTTGAGCTGATTCAACCTAATAATTCTAGTTATCATTGGGTTTCTTCACCGCCTAACAAAACCCGACTAATTCACGGCTAAGGATAAATTAAAAGAAAAGAAGCGATTAGAAACGAAGGGGTACCTGCTTCAATTCTTCGTCATTTAAGGCATCTTCGTAGGAGTCCCCTCCTTTTTGTTCTCGCTGTTCATCTTCCTTCTCTTGTTCTTGCTGTTCATCTTCCTTCTCTTGTTCTCGCTGTCCTTTATGGTGATCCACTTCATTCCCTATATTACCTTCTTCGTTATCACTGACGTCACGTTCGCTTGCAGTTTCGAAACCATCAGAAATATCTCCGTGCGTATTTGATGCTGCCGCAGCAGCTGAGGTAGAATCGTCGGTTGAACCCTCCGTCGCTTTGGAGGAAGACGGCATCGGCTCCGGGGTTTCTTCAGTTCCGTGCGGCTCTATCACCACCATTTTCGATATAAGATGCGAAAACGAAAACCTTCGCCTTTCTCAACCCCTTTCTTGAGAACGGGGAAAAGAAGGATCCAGATCGATGCGAGTTGGATTGTCCAGAAACTTCAATTGGGAAGAAGATGAGGAAATTGGGCCAAGAGCTGGACCGAGCCAGATTTTGTAAGATAGTGGTCCATGATCCACATTTTGTGTTGTATGTATTAAAGGCCTCGTGTCTGTTGTGGGTTTTCCATTGGGCCTTTTAAATTATATTGTTCTGCAACCGACGGATCAGCAATCACAAACGGATGATTATTGATTAATACGGGACCCCCCCCCCCCTTCTTATTTTTTGCTAAAGCTCTTATTTGCACCTTCCATTTAATTCTTCTCTGTGGTTAATAACTTCCAAAATTTTTTCTTTTTATTCATACCTTCAAATTTTCAAAACTCGTAAAAAACTCAATATTTTAATGCGTCATCACGACACTGTTAAAAAATGTACTACGTAGCACTCAGAAATTGATGTGGCACTATGTGACGTTAGTAATCCAACGTGAATCCCGTTTTTTGATTATGTGACTTATTTTCTGCACACGTGGACGCCACGTGTACAGTGAGACCAACAAAAAATTATAATACGTAGTACCAAACAGTAATATAAACGTTATGTCACTTTTTTTTTTTTATGATGTGGCATTTCTTCATCTTTTTCTTTTTTCCTCATCCTCCTCAGCATCATCTTCACCATCTTCCATCTTCAGCATCCTCCATCTTCAACATCCTCTTCTCAATGGGTTCTACAGAACATAGTTTTTGGGTTCTGACCATTTTTTTTTTTTCATTTTTTCATTTTGAATGTATTTATCTTAGTTTCCTATTTTATGCAAAGCAATTTGGAATAATTTTTTTATTGGAAAGGTGAGTTTTTTTGCTTGTAAATTGTTTCTGAACAGGTTGCCGATTTGAGTTTAAGTGGGATTAACATGAATGGCAATGACGGTTTTTTTGTTTTTTTTGGGAAAGGGGTGGAAGATGCATATTATGTTTTTGTGCAGTATTCATTTACTTATAATTGTGTGGATGAAGATCTTAGCTTTGTAGGCATTCATGTGAAATTGGGTTCCACGAGGAACTCAGAACCTGGGTTCCACGAGGAACTCAGAACCTGGGTTCCATGAGGAACCCAGGAGAATGAGGACAAGGATGGTGAAGATGATGTCAGGAAAGAAGAAAATAAAGAAACTAAAATTAATTATGATTTAATTATAACACATTATAAAAAAAAAAAAAAGAAGAAAGAATCCACATTGGATTAATAAATGTGAAATAACGTCTTGGGTTCCTGCTTCCATGAGGAACCCAGGAGGATAAAGAGGAAGATGGTGAAAAGGAAGATGGTAAAGATGATGCCGAGAAAGAA